GTAGTCATGGACTCTGACCTGAGTTTCAACAGTCACATTAAAACAATTACAAGCTGGTTTTCGACGTGGAAGGTCAACAGTAGACCATGTAACGCTACTCTCTCAGGACATCGAAGACAGCTTCCAGGACAATGAGAAAGCTGGGGTAGTGTACCTGGACCTGACTACCGCATATGACACCGTCTGGCACGTGGACTCCACCTGAAGCTGTTGAGGACAATACCAGACCGGCATATGGTTAAGTTCATCATGGAGACGCTTACTAACCGCAGCTTTGTCCTCCAGACCAGCAATCGCTAACGCAGCAAGCCTGCTGCGTTAGCGATTGCTGGTCTGGAGGACAAAGCTGCGGTTAGTAAGCGTCTCCATGATGAACTTAACCATATGCCGGTCTGGTATTGTCCTCAACAGNCTTAAATTTGAGTTGGTGAAACCTGCAGGAACCCTGTAGTAAAAGAAGTACAAATGTAAAGCCTCATATAACCGAAAGCAGGATTCAATGTGCTTTGTGCATAGTGTTTTAAATGCATATAATTGTAACATTTCTTAAAGAAGAACAACAGAGCAATCCTGATTTTTCTTTGCAATAACGAATGTGTGTTTTCCAGGCGGCCATAGTGCGGATCATGAAGATGAGGAAGGTCCTGAAGCACCAGCAGCTTCTGGCTGAAGTCCTGAATCAGCTGTCGTCTCGATTCAAACCCAGAGTCCCAGTCATCAAGAAATGCATCGACATCCTGATCGAAAAGGAGTACCTGGAGAGAGTGGACGGAGAGAAGGACACGTACAGCTACCTGACCTGAACGCCCCCCCCCCCTTCCCGGCTCTCCTCAATTTTATTTGTTATCTTCCTGTTATGTCTGAGTAATAAAGTGAGGATCCCTCTGACCGGCAGCCATGTTGTAAGTGTGTTGCCGACAACAAACATCCAACCCGAGGGGGGAGGAGTTTGAGGACTTTTTCCTGAACCCCTCCTGTTGAGGGCGGGAAACCCCGTCTACACTCTCGCCTGTCCCGTCCCATGCGTAGGACTCAGACACACACACTTCCTTCTTGTCATATTGTAAATAACAACACCGACTCTAAGAGGAAAAAACAAAAAAAACCTGCTCCCTTCTTTACATAGCGCAAATATAATGAATTAGCCAATCAGAGGAGAGCCGCATCCAAAGGTTTCTGCATGCTACTGCCTACCTGCACCACAGTGACCACGAAAAAGATTAAAAAGTAAAAATAAAAGTCGAGTCACTGGGCAGTTTCCCGTACGACGACGCTGACGCCGGTCCTGTAATTGAAAGTGTGCAACTGAACCGGAGGAGGAGTGGTGAGTGTCGGCCACCATGACGCTTCTTCACCTGCTGAAGGTGTTTTTGGTTTGAGGTCGGTCGGGTTCATGCAGGAGGCCTGTTTCATTACTGACGGTTGACATTTGTATAGTGTGGTTCATTTTCTAAATGTGTGATAAATAAAAATAAGGAAAGATTTCTCTAAATGTTCTACTGAGACTCTGTTTACACCTCACTCGCCTGTTTCAATGGATCTCTGTTTTCTTCACTGGGTTTTTATTGGTCTACTTAATGTTATGTAATATAAAAACATTAAAGAAACATAATATGAAACTATATTAATACCACTGGTGGAATGTAACAAGATAAAATGTGGATGTAATTTTTGTAGAATAATGCTACTTTTAATTTGTCAATCTTCTGGAAAATCGTAAATGTTGAAGCAAGGGTTCTAGATGTAAAGCCTGATTATAAAAGAACACATAATATCCTCTTGTGATGTCAAAGAATGTAGTTTCTGTGTAGAAATATTTGTGTTTATTTTGGGTACACACTTTATTATAGAACTGATATAGGAGCTGAAGTTGATCTTCAGGATTGCAACTCTACTCCATCAGATTTCAAAGGGAAATATTGCACTTTTACTCTACTACATTTATTTGTCGTTAATTTTTTACACAAAACATTGTTCTTCCAATTGCCATGCATGGAGACCATGATGGAGACACAGAGTTCTGTAAGCCAATGGCTGTTAAGTGGAGGAGGGGCTTTTGTCGGGCTGTCAGCCAATGGCTGTTTAGAAGGAGCTGAGTTTAGCTCAGTAAACTTGGCGACCCTTTCCCTTGCTTGATGTGTCCGCAGAATATCATGCATTGAGGAAACTGGCCTGTTATTCAGCTTTTGTGTATTTTTCTGTACAAACTGATGCTTTTTATCATTAAATATTAAATCGGGGCTGCCCGGCACGAGATGAACAGCTGATACATTTGCTGCTGCTCTTACTGGAGCTTTCAGCAGAATGAGGTGTCAGGGTTTTGTTACATTTAACACAATAAATGAGACACTGTACCTTCACGTGTCTGTAAACTAAACACAGCCACCAATGCATTTGACTTGTTTTCCTATTGGAACAACATGCGCATGACAACTGACACCACCATTGCAAGAGAACTAAATATGAAGTCTGGTGTTTAATAATTCTGTCAAACCCGTTTTTAGTTTTATTCCGTTGACACAATCGAGAACAAAGAAAACCTGTCCACATGTCCCCGCTTGGCCCGGTGCAGCTTTGAAGTCTGATTTGCTAGCACCGTGATACCAACCCGACCAAACACGTGCTTCCATACTGCGAAGCCCCAACATCGGCTGCTGTGATTGGCCCGCTTGTTTGGCGCCTCTTAAATGTGCTGCAGCCGTAGTGGGCGGTGAATGCAAGACGGGGAGCCGTTTGAACCGTCGCTGTGCCGAGGCGGAAACATTGAAATTGGACAAATTGTGTAGAGTGAGGGTGAGATGAAATGGTGTTATATATATCTACAAACACTGTGCCTTTTATGAGGCCTGGTTTAGAGTACTGTAACGTCTGCTTTTATTCTGTTTGCCGACTCTAAAGCCGTAAAGCCGGCAAAGTGTTTCGCTCCTTCCTCTCTGAGCTAACTGCTAGTTAGCTGCCGAGCTAACAGCTAGCCGGAAAACAGGCAGCTAATACCCAAGACAAAAGACGACTTTCCCCCGTCACTTATATCCAGAATCACTCTGTTGAATGAGGACTGAACCTCCTGTGCAGGTAAGAGGAGCTGTCAGTGTTGCCGTCTCTTATTTACAGCGCCTTTGTTGCGATGGTCTGCTCTCGATGCTTTGTTGGAGGTCTCAATCTTTGTTAACTAACTGTTAGCTACCTCGCCGGTGCCACATTTGGTATCCCCGTCAAAATATATTCCCCTTTTAAATAACCTGGTTTTAAAGAGTAAACTGTATCTTCAATATGAGATTAGGATTAAACTGTTTATTTTCCAAGTAAACAGCAGGGACTTAAAACTTGACACCGGGTATTTATCGTAAGCTTGAATGTGTTATTTGTTGCTAGCTCTGGTTGATGCTTTTCTTATACAAATGCTTATTTGTGTGTAACCATTAACTGTCTTCTAGACACGTGTCATGTATATTCAGGTAATGAGGGAGAGCATCGATCTGTTTGAAGGGTCATTTTGAAACTAGGGTGCCATTTATATATTTATAAAAAAAAGTGATTAATACTTTATATATTAATATCGGACTTGGATCTGTCATTTGAGGGATTTTCACACATTGGGTGCTCTCTGATCCATAAATTAGCCTGTGTTTATCTACAGGCCTTATTGGTAGTGATGGAAGTACTTCGATAACTTGTTTAACTATGGTGTAGAAATACCATAGACTGACGAATTTCCATCAGAAGTAAAAGTCCTGACTCTAAATGCTGCTAAAGTAAACTTAGAAACACCATCGTCTCCAAATACATAGGGACAGACAAAACAATCTATTTCAAAATCCTACTTAAGTAAAAGTAGAAACATAGGCAAACATCCTCCTCATCACAAGTCATGAATTCAAAAGGCTACAAAGGTAAAAGTAGAAATATTAAAGTCTATAGAAATACTCCACTCGCAAGTAGAAGTCCTGATTCAGTAAAAGTAAAACATGTTATTGTCCAAAAGTAGCCTACTGCATCACAAGTCAAAAATGATACAATGTAAAAATACTATAGTATCAAAATATTATGTTTTTTTTCTTGTACAGTTTGGTAAAACTCCTTGATACAAATGTGGATTTGGTCATATTAGGTTATATACATTTAATTTATTTTATACTTCAAGATGGGTACATTATTAGAAAATGCTACTTAAGTAGAAATATGAAGTCTAAAAGTACTCCTGTCACAAGTGAAGGTCCTTATTCAAATTCTATTTCAGCAAAAATGAGAATTTCCTAGTTTCATAATCCGTTACAAGAAAATATCCTGATTTTGAGGCATTTGTTTATGGGGCTGCTAGGTTATTCTGGGATGTGGTTCTATTCGGTCCACACGTTTTATATCAGTGAGGGTAGACTAGATAGACATAATTTTGGTTGGTTTGGTACAATGTGTTCTGCCAGTTCAGTTTGCCATATCTATTACAATCTGACACATCTCTTACCAGCATGTCTCCATGACACTAAATGAAAGAGCTTGATCTCAATAGATCTTGTTGCTACACCTAGACAGGTGGCTTTTGTAATTTGAACGCTAAGAAGGGCTAGGAAAAACCCTGTCACCTGTATTTGTTGCCCCATGAAGAAGAACTGAGTGCAAGCTGCTTTTATTTTAATTTTGAGGGAATTTCCACATATCTGAATCACAGCCCAGTTTTCTTTCACTTTCAAAAGGAAATTCAATGGAAGTACAGTCTCTGAAGTAGTAAAACAGTCTAGAAATGCCTCACATTTATGGAAAACGTAATTTGTAAGAGATTAAGTCTAATCTAATGGCCGAGGACAACAGCTGGAAATTAGCAATGTTGGTTAAACTGCTCCATTTACTTTTTTTTGTGACAGTTGATCAATGGGGACTGTCCAAGACACTATAAACAAATAAACTAAACTAAACACACAATATGAACAAAATTTAAAAGATTCAGCCAACTTTTAATTGAACGGATTTTTCGGTTTTCTTTAGCTAAATAACATATATGTGTTCACATCATCCTCAGTACTCTTATATACAGTTTATTTTTTCTCTTGGAATAACGTCTCTATCCCCTTTTTTATAACATTTAAAACAATAGGAGTATTTTATTTGTTCATCTAAATTAGCTCTGATTTGGTGTTGTGTCGTATTAACAACTAGGGGAAAATCTGGCTTCCATTGATACGTTTCAGGAATATTGTGCTTGTTGTAAAACTGGATAAATATCTATGGCTGTGTAGCAGACATGAGGCTGGTGGAACTGGAGTTAATCAAAAGCAGTGTCATGATGTTGGTATCCTCATGTTAGCCCCACAATATATACCAGATCTATAAGACTGAAACAATGCACATCAATAATAATTGCTATAATAGGCTTTTTTGCGACAAGTAATCCCTGTACAGATGTTTCAGTCACCCTTAAAACACATGATAATACTTAGGAAACTGGAAAAGTTAATACAACTATTAAAACATGCAACAAAGAGCCTAACAATACAGAACAAGGGTATTACAACTAAATATGAATTAGTTTATTGAAGAAATATTAACAGTTTATAAAATCCATACAACATAGAGGCTCACTATACAGGACATGCCAGTTAAATAAACATCGTAAAATTAAAAACATACATATTACATATCAAAAAGATAGCGACAGGGACACAAGACAGTATAGTGCAATTTATTTGTATTTTAATTTTATTGCTGACAGTTGCTAATTCCGTTTTAACCCATAAGGACCCAACGTGACACGGGTGTCACATGAACTTTAAACGTTCTGGAAAGTTCCTTATACAGCTTTAGCCTTTATTTGATCTCTTGAAGTCCCTAAGTGACACACACTGAACAGTCTGGTGGGTCCTGGTCCAGGACATGTGATTTTTGTTCCCATAACAACATGTCCAAGATGTCCATGTGCCAGACTAACACATGTGACAGAACTAGCTACATTTTAAATGCTTTTTGTTGTTGTTGCTAAAGGTAAAATTCAAGCCATTTAAGAATTTAAAATGCTTACATAACATGTCCTTTATTACATTCAACCTATTGTGGAAACATTTCTTGAAACAAATGAGACAAACATCGCTGTGACACTGGTGTCACATCGGGACTTTAGCCCTAAAAAACGTTCACAGTAAACCCAAAGTTACATATATGCACAATTAGAAATATTATTATGATCTGCTCAGTTAAATTTAGCTGATTCAATTATATTTAGTTAATATAATCTTTTGATTCTACAATTCAAGAATGTTCAAACTAATTGAACCAAAAATCACCCTCATTAATTAAGTTATGTAAAATAAGGGTTTATTTTTATCCATTAAAGCCCATGTGTCATATGTCACATTTCAGATATTTGGGACCTAGGGGGGTTACTACTGTCAGAAATGTGTTCACGGTGGTCTATTTAGTCTAAATGATGTTTCCCTTAATTTCCCCAAAAGTAGAAAATGGGTCCTGGATTCTTATGGATATTGACCTATCGGTTAAATTAAGTGTAATAAAGTGTATGTGCTTTTCCTTAATGGTGCTGGGATGGTGCATATTTTACATAAGACAAGCATTTTCAAGTTTCTGTAAGCGGATGTGTGAAAAAACAGAAACTGAATCTTCCTTGCACTCGCACTGCAGGCAAAGATGGTGTGACAGGGTAAGCGCTCGAGAAAGCCCGGGCTATGCTGGAAAGAGAAGAGTGAGCAGCAGTACACTGAGTCTGCGGCAGTCTCAAGCGCTTCCGAACGAGCCGGACGAGGTCAAGGTTCGTCCACACACACTCCCACCTTCACACACTGCACATTTTCAGGGACTTCAGCAATATAGCTCAACTAGGTTCAATATCCAAGTAGAGCCATGGAGGATGAAGTCACTGTTTTTACTGTGAGAATGGTTGCATGAAATTATGGCCCATCTCCCACTCGTTCAGCCACGGTGGCGCTTACACTTTTTCTCTTCAATTCAGTTATTTGAATGTCTTTCCTATTCCAGAGCATGTTCAACACCAACCGTCATGAAAATCATACGATCGCACTAAGTTTTGAATCAGAGTGGGAGGACCAGCGAACCAACCAGTTGACCATCATGCGTCCGTGGCTCTTTGAGAGCACCCGGGAGGTCTGGATTCACATTATCCTCAGTACTCTAGTAGACAAAAGGTTTAGTACACAAAACGTGGAATGAACCAACGCCTCTGAAGGTTTGACTTGGTGTAAATTTCTCTCCTGATTCTCGTGAGTGCACGGTGGCGCGGCTTCTGGATAGTTCCCTCTGGCAGGTCATCCCCCTGAAGACCTCAACGCCGTGGCCTCAGTCCCCGTTGATGTACTCCTGGTCCCCCCTTGCAGCAGAACTTCATGGTCTGCATGTAGTGGAAAAAAAATGTTCTTTTATGGAAGTTTAGTGCCGTAGTTGTAGAAGTTGGAACCGATGCCGCGCAGTGATGGTTCCTGTCTGTGTGTGTCAGGGTTCCCTTGTGTCAAATATTATGTGTTTTATTATTGAGCTTGAAAATAATTGGTAGGAAGGGTCTATATAAAGAATTGACACATCAATGCATGTAGATTTAGGTTTTATTGAAAGTCAGTTCTTTTCAATAAATGAAAGCCACAAGAAATAAATGCAAACTTACGTAATATTCGCGATGACTCAAACAAACAAATATTTAAGGCTTAGGCGTATGCGTAATTCTCATAAATAAAAAAGTAAAAAAAATAAAAACTTTTCTTATTGTTA